TATACGATAAAACGAGTACAAAGCACAACCATGTAAAGATTACTTAGTATATTATTACTGAGTGTCTCAGTATATTCTCAAAATCTTTATCTCGATGACATAGGCACAAAGCACGATTCAGGATAAAAACTGATAATATTATCATGAATATCGATACAGAGATATGGAAATAAAACAAAATAAATGAGAATAATAACAATAATAACTAACTCATACGAGCATACCAATGTGGGTGACTAAGAGAGATAATTGGTTGAATAATTTATATGCTGTTGATTTAAAAATTATTGAATCATCAACAAAAATCAAATTTAAACGAAGCACAATTTTGCAAAGAAAAATTAAAATCACGAAATTCAAGTTCTATGCTATTATCGGTTACTTCTTTAAATTGAACATATGCATTTGTGCATTTATAAGCCTTACAATTAATTTTATAGAAATTCACAATAATTTAATGTGTGAAGTTCAAAATGAAAAAAAATTGTATTTCACCGACCACAGTGTTTATGTAACTTGTATACTTAGGGTACTCATTATATTGTAGGTATACCTAAAGCGGATATAAGCACGATTTGCTAAGATTATTATTTTTATAAGGTTTTATATTTATTTAAATATACATTAGGAGCTTGGAAATCTAGAAGGTGGTTGGTAGCTAATTTATATAATAATTTTGAAAGATAAAGTATTAATAACTAATTATCATCAAGTAGGTATGCATTAAACATTTATTTTTTTTTTTTAATGCAAGTTATGGACATTATACTGTAATATTAAAGCACTTTTTATTATTATTTAGTATCATTGTATTATATTTTAGTATTATACAAGGCTACAGGAGTCTGGAGACTAGAAGGCATACGACAACAGCATGATGGGACATCAGTAGGGTTGCCACCTCTCCGGGTTTACGTATCAATCTACGGGCTCCGGGTTCAGTGAATTATTCTCCGGGTCGGAGATAAAGATAAGATAACATACGATTTTTTATTATTATGCCTTTTTTTTTATTATTTTCCGGTATAAAAACCATTTATTCAAGATAACAAGAATAATAAGATTGTGAACTACGGTTTATGACTTTATGAGTTTATGAATTTATGATTTTACGAATCAGTTTCAACATCACAGTTGAGTGTGTTTGATCGAATGCTTTTAATTTTTGTGTCAGTGTAACAGTGCATCGATATTATAAAACTACACAGAATTTGAAAAGTAATTCATTGATGACCACATTTATGACTAAACGACCTTTTTTTTTTTGCTTATCGGCCCGTCTCCGGGACTGATTTCTTTCAAAGGTGGCAACTCTAGATATCAGTGACGATCTAACAAGGAGCGATATAGTTGGGTCGCCCCCTGGTCTGTGTAAATGTGTAAAATGTCATCAAAAAAATAAGTATTTATTATAAATAAAAGTTATTTCATATTATTTAGGTATAATGTATATAGAAATAAAAAAAATTGGAAAAAATGTAATGTTTATGTTCATACAAAATTATTTCATTGCCCCTTGACCCTTGGGGAAACTCGTCAAAAACAGCCAATGTGAGACATTCTGTATAATGTATATATTTATAGACTATGTATTTTACTTAACTTACAAATAACTAAGACATTTTTACCAAATATTGAAAGCATTCTCTTTAAAATAAAAACCATCGTGTTAGTCATGTTATTTGTATCATATAATTTAAAACAAACAATACAGATTAATAAGAATTGAAACAATATTAGCATAAACATTACTAAGAATCGACCACAGAAAAACGTAATTTATCTAAAAATGTTTTTTAACATAAAACTATATTGTAGTTTTTTTAAAAGGAAAATACCTAAAGCAATATTTATCACTGAATAATTGAATTTTATTTATTTTTTATAATATTTCTAGACTGTTATAATATTATACATATGCAGGTTTGTCGTTAAATAAATGATAATTAATATAAGATGACTAAAAATTATCTATTATTATTGTCTACCTAGTTATTACATTAATATCTAATATTTTTTTTTCTATTCTGACAGAGTGTTTATAACTAGGACGCTACACGCACGCTACACGCGTGTGCATATTTTGTTGTCTCCGTCTGTATTATACAAAATGAAAGCTCAGCAGATCACGTTTAACTTCTTAAGTTTAAAAATTAGAGTAAATCGACATATTATAAAACTTGATGGTAAGTATACTAGTATACATTATCTGAGCTTTGTGTGGGTTTTTACGATACTTTAATTTTTAGCAAGTTTTGAGTATATAACACCTATAGTCAGTATTGGGTAGTAACGTAACGCAAATTACAAATTACTGTAAGGCAATTACTTTTTAAAAGTAATATTTATGAAGTAATGCACTAACGCGTTAATTTCCACGTTATTAAAATAATAGTTATGAATGTACTACAAAAACAAGCCGATAGGATAATCCAGAAAAATTAAAATCAATTTTATTTATTTTCGATTCCGATGATAGTTAACAATATTATTAAAAATTACTAAACAGGAATACATTTTATAATTTTATTTTCATTTTAGAAAGAAAAGTGTTTGGTTTAATTAAAATTAATTATGATTTATGACTTAGGATTATCTAGCCATATATATATCTAAGTGAGATGATTATACGGGAGCATACTACTTGCGTCCGAAATTATTATCAGTAGGTGAGTTGCGTCCCGCAAAAATAAGGTTCAAAAAGGTTATAGCCGATTTGCGTCCCAGTACACCTTTTTTTATGACCTAATTGCGTCCCAAAAATATCGATATAATCGATATAAAAATGAAAAAAAAAAAGTATGAAAAAAACTATTCTGAGCGAAAACGGTCAGTCAGCCTATGATATTACTAAGTATATTTCAATCCTTAGCTATAAAAGTTGAACGAATATTTTTCAACTTCAGGAGTTCAATTTTCACGCTTTTTTTTTAAATTACAAATTCATATGTTTTATATTTTGTCATGGTAGTAATAATAATAATGATAATATAAAAAATCGTATTTTATTAAATTAAATTATTTAATTTTTTTTAATTTGATAAGTGGTTATTTCACAACTATTGGTCTAATAAGACAAATCGTACTGAATAAAAGTAAAATGTGAAAATATAATGCGAGTAAAAAAAAAAAATTTTCGACGTAATTGCTTTATCTTATCGAATCTAACAACCAACAAGATGTATACATGTTCCCATATCTTTTCACATAAAATAATACCCACTTAAGTTATTAATAGAATATACTATCGTATTGTACCTATCATAGTTAAATTGTATCTACATTGTAAGTAAGTAACGCACGCACTCACACACATGTATACGGTACAGTTTATGAACTATCGATTTTAGTGTCACGATAATATCGATTTTAATGATTTTAGAAGATAATATCGATAATAATTATATGGCTGACATGCGTCCCCAAAACCGGTCAAATTTACTACCTGTAAAATATATCTTTTTTTGGGACGCAAGTAACATGCAGTCGATTATACATTTACACATAATAGATCTATTATCACTAGGTTTACCCAGGGTTGTAAAATATGTACATAATAATTGAATCGTATGAATTGAATATGGTTTAAAAAAAATAATAACTGCTATCACTAATCAATGATAAAAAAAAAAATAACGTTATTTGTTACGCACTGATTTATTAATAAAAAAGTAATGTATAATTTTAGGTAACACAAATGTAATTTAAATGAAAAATATTTGAAGTAACGAGTAACGTAATTTCATTACATTTTAAAAGTAATTTACCCAACACTGAATACAGTGTAAATTAAAAATGCTCATAACTCACTTAAAAACTACCGTATAGTGTCCTTTTAAACAATAATATAGTATGTGGTTATATATTGTTGAAGTATGTTATAATTTTATATTATTTTAGAGATTGCATTTATATACAGTTAAATATTAGTATTTTTTACTTACCTGATTGCGATTTTATTGTTCCATCCGATGGATACAGATCTGTTGTTGAAACCAAAATGTAAGCAGATTGACAACTAGGAATTTTTTTAATGTTAAAAAATTAAAAATAAAAATAATATGACACTTTTCTATATTAAAAACTAAACAACTTTAGTAAGAATATTTTAGATGTGCACTCTTCATACCTCCGCACTGGAATGACCACAGTCGTATCAGACGGCTGCTCGGTGCTCGTATACGAAGTGAGGCGCCCATAGGCAAGTGTCTTATATCTAGACAGGGAGTTATCAATAGTCCATTATCCCCAGATATCGATGGATAAAAGCGTGTTTTCAGCTATAATAGTTGACACTTAAATATACATTAGGGCGAAACACGATTAAATGGTAAACGGAAGGATATTATAATAATGTATGACAAACCAAATACTCATACCAATATATTATTAAGTACACATACAATTGTGTACATTGGTCGTTTTCAAAAATAACAGTACCTATATAATATAATACTATTTCTAACATCGCCCCTTTCGAATTCCGGGACACAAAAGGTATTCATTCGTATTGTATATAAGATGCACAGGTACCTATATTATATTGAAACCGAAAACGGGGTTCGACGTTTCCGGGCCAAGTTGATGACAATAATAATAATATAATTATGTTAGCTTAAGAATATTTCGAGGCGGATCTGTGTACCTATATATTGAAAAGCGACCATGAGGGTTTTATTACAATTAATACAAGAAACTTCAGACAAAAAAATTGATTAAATGGTGTATTATAACCACATAAATAGTATAGTAGGTTACAGTTGATAATAATATAATATTAAAGCTCCAAAAAGGACAGGATATCCCAAACCAATTTATGAACAATGCAAAGCGCCGAGTGGCATTTCGTACAATTTTCGTAGACCGTGTATCGCGTTAGTGATCACGTGAGACACGGTCATATATTATAATACATGTATTTTAAATTATTTTAAAAATATTATATTTATAGAGTACTGAAGCGTCGCGTCGATCTGAGGTCGTCCTCCCTTCGAACACGATCATCTTTTGCGATATCCGACCGCGGTGGTGGGATGGGTGGACGCCGCCGACGCCGCTGACGCCGTGGCGCCTACACGGTGTCTGGCCTTGGTGCGGTACACGGCGATGCATGCAATGGCTATGGCGATCAGAAATACGATCTTGACGCCGGCGACCACGCTGTCCGACGGAGCCCCACCGAGGCCGTGGCTCCGGCTGTCCGCCTTGCGCTTCACCACGTACGCGAACGTGTCGCCGATGGTGACGATCACTCCGATCACCGTCGTCAGGTCGGCCACTGACGCGTTAGTAGTCGGCATGCACACGATCCGTTGGTGGTCCGTGAACACGACGTCGCACACGCTACCGGAACCGCGGAACCGGACAGTCAGGTCGTCTTGCTGCCGGTAGCCGCGGTCCAAGTCGCGGCCGTTGATTGTCAAAGTGTGGCCGTCCGTCACGAAGTCCAAGAGCACCGGGTCGGGGTGCAGGCTGTAACCGTGTATATCCCGTGGTGGCAACAGGTCCATCTCGTGGAACTCGGGGTCCTGCACCCGAAGTCCGTACTTCAACGACGTGATGGCACTGCCGCGTCCGTACTCGAGCTTTGGTGCTCTGCACACGGCCAGTGTGTCGTTGACCAACCTACAGCTGGTGTAGTGCACCCGTTCTCCGTGTCGGACGTAGAACATGGCGTACCGAAGGCACGAGAAGTGCCGGCCACGCAGCTGGACGGCTGTGCCACCGGTCGCGATGCCCTGCAGCGACTGTCCTGGGTCCAGCGCTGGCACGGCCGCGTACGTGAAGACCACCGACCCGTCGCCGACGTACTTGCTCAGCTGTCCATCGAAAATTACGTTGACCCTGGCAGCCGTGGGCCCGTCCACCGAGGCTGGTTTCGTCCGGCACAGTATGAGGTCAGAGTATATTGCCACTGGTTCACACGTCGCGTAGTCTCCCACCGACACCCTCAACGAGGTGCCCGCGTCCAGGAACCGACCACCGATACGCAACATGGTGCCGCCGGCCGCGGGCCCGCACCTTGGGCTCATGTCCGTGATCACGGGGTCCACCAGTCCGATGACGAGCGACGACGTGATGGTCACCTTGGGTTGGTCGCCGGTGTACAGCACCCGAACCGGGCCTTCGTGGTTGCGGCGGCGATCCGTGTTGGTCGCCGGCATCATGGTGCAGGAAATGGCCGTCACGTCATCTCTATTCATTCGCTTCGTTTTGGGTTCCGAGCACTCGCGCCCGGCTACCGTCACCGCTACTTCCTTCCCCTCGGCCAAGATGTGGTGGTTGACAACCGTAAAACGCACCATCGTGCCTCCCAGATACGGTGCCGTCATCGGGTCCACGGATTGAATCTCAGCTTCCGGACACTCTAGACGCACACCACCGTCCTTGTCCACGTTGTCGGTCCCCACTAAGGTGTAATTGTTCAAGTGCCACTTGCCGTAATACTCGTACTGGCCCACGCACCGGTTTTTCGTCGTACACCGTTTGAAGTAGTTCTTGTACCCGCACTCGGTCCACATGCACGTCACGCACTCTTCGTCTCTCAACAACCTGTTGCAATCGTGATCGTAATACGCAAAATAATTGTCAGAATCGTTGTTGAATCTTAGTATTATGTCATCGTCGATTGTAATGTAATAATGGAAAATCATCAACGCTTTAAATCGCTTGTCCCTCTGTACCGTTAGTTTTTTCGTGTTGCATTTGATTTCGTCGTTTAACACATATCCCGTGAGTTTCTCGTTTTCTAGATTGCACGTGATTTTATGCCCTTGTAGAAATTTTAGGAAATTGTTCTTATCGTTCGACACCGCTACCGAGTAAGAAAATAACTCATCCCTCAGGACGGATTTTTTCAGTATAGTGAACTGTGGACAGTGTCCTTCAATGTTCACTGTTAAATTTCCTAAATTTGAAGGTGTCATTATACATTTCTGGTTGTCTAACGACCAACTGCAAGAGGCGTGTTTCGCACATTTTAGGCATGATAAGAATTCCGAGCAAACCGTTGAATTGTTCTCCGATTTCAATAAATCTGCATGTGATAGTGATACAAATACCTGTTAAAAATAAAATAATTGTTATTGAAATATAAAACAACCTAATACAATATTATTATTATTTAGTGCCAACATTTAAAAATATATCAATAGCATTGGAACGAAAAGGACATTTATGTCTTATGAGTCTGATAATTGCTACAATTACCCAAACATGAAAACCTTGTAAAAATTATAATAAAAATTCAAAAAAATTAAGTATATTTAGCAAGAATTTTCGTTTTTAAATTACCTTACACTGATGTTACAAATCGTCAAAAAACATTTTATTCTTTTTATTTAGATTATATTACAACTGCAAAAATGTATTCCATTATTTATGTAGCTTACATTTATGATGTGTATAAAAAACCTTGATATATTAAAATTAAAAATCAAGTATTAAATAATCATTATTTAATGAATATTAAAAAACTGAAGCTATATCTATTAATTAATATTGAAAATAAATATAAAATAAAATTGAATTTACTTCCATATTTATACGTCTTTTGTTTTCAAACATAAACAATATTTTTTTTATCAATTAATTTTACAAAAAATCAAAAAATACAATTATTACCTACATACTTTAAAATATACTTTAATAAATTATACTTTATTTATTAACCTACATTTACCTCATCGCAAAAATATATACATACTCGTTTTTAAAATATTTTAAAATTCAAATTGAAGGTAGATAAAAAAATTAAATAGTTAATAGTTAAATATTTATGATTAAATAATTATTATACAGTTTTCTGATTTTTCTGTCTTTGTCTAGCACACACAGAACATGGGCATTTAGTAGTGTTTTCATTCCAACGTTACGGGATTGAACTAGTGAAGCAGAAAAAATTCTAACAGATTTGATTTTGTCATCAAGTCTACTTGGGATCGACTTTCCAACTTTTTAATTTCATCCCACTAAAATCTAAAAAAAGTTATACTAAAAAATTATTAGTTTAAAGAAAAGAGGGTAAGTGGATGTCGCTCTGCTGTACAATAGGTTACAAGTGGGTCAGTGTATAATGGATTGTATTAAACTTAAATTCAATGATATAATATGATATATGATACATGATATAATATAAAATGTACAAGAAAAACAATTATGATGAGTGGAGACGGTTTGTCAGTCTGGATTTTGTATATTGTTTTTATTTATTATAGCCAGTAATTTGAACTAATATAATAATATTATAATTTTTTACTCTTTGCTATGGTGATAAACAAAGTGTTTGAAATTAAAATCACATTTTTAGAGGTTTCGTAATTTGTCAGTAGTTTTTCTTGTGGCATTAAATAACTATTGAGAAAATCGAAAAATTACATTTCTAAAGTACCATTTTGATCCAATTTGCTAAAAGATAAGGCGTACTCTATATGTTGAAATCGAAGCACTCATTCTGGTAGAAATGTTCTATATAGGATAAGAATAAATAAATAAATAAATAAATGAACATCATTGTATAACCACTAGCTTCCTCGCTCCGCTTAGAATCTAAAATGGAATATTTCAGATTATGGAGAAGTTAAAATCCAGAAATTAAAAATGTGGGAAAGTCGATTTCAAGTAGATTTAAAAACAAATTAAAAAAATTTTAGAATTCGATCTGTGTGTATTAGTCAATTTACGACCGAAAATTACCGTTTCCAATTCCTTTAAATGTGTATTGGTATATATTAAATTATTATTAGGGAACGGATTTAAATGCTATAAAAAACAAGAAAAATGTCTTAAAAATATACGATTTAATGCACTCATAGCATAGTTTTTATTTTTTTTAATGCACTAAATATGCTCTTAAAATTATTTTTAGCATTGACAAAATTTGATTTGTCATTAGTTAATAATTATTATATAAATTATTATTATTATTATTATTATTATTATTATTAATTATTCGTTTTCTCCTATCTTCTTTTTAGCCTGCAAATTATTTCCATAAAATTAATTAAACAAATCTTATTATAGGGGTACTGACGACGTTATATTTATCTGATCGGTAAAAACATAATAAATAATAAAAATAGAAGTACGACAAGGCTAAATAAATAATTTTCAATTTTATTATTGAATAATGAATTTTAACCGTAATTGTTATAAAATGTTAAACATTCTTATATAAAAATGCACTATACACTATACACTATAAATGTCAATAAATGCAAAATAAAAAATAAAATTTTTAATTCCTTTGATATATAAAATTAACTTTGTGCTTGAAATGCTGTTTTCGGAGATTTTGAAAAAAATGAAATTTGCATTCCAATCAGTTTCCTACTTAGGTACCTATAATATATTATCGAAGGCACTTACCTACAATATTATGTCAATAACATTTTAAATGCTCAAATTATCGTCAAAGTATAAAAAACGGCGTAATACCTAATTAACTTATTAATTGTTATTATTTATTTCATAATTTAAACTATCATATATTTATTTTGGGAATTTTTCCAGGTGATTTTTATTCCGATTTCCGTACTATATATTCTGGCTTGTGAAATTAATGCGTACTAATAACTAAAAAAGTAGTAAATACTTAATAATGGGTTTAAGCTGTAAATAATTAGTAAATTATAAGCAAAAATATTATGCTCTACATATATTACAGTTTACAATAAAAAGAAGGAAAAATTAATATTTTAATTAATTTTTACAATAATAGAGGTAACCCTACCTATTCTAAAATTTAAAATACCCAATATTTATAGGTATGTAACGTAAAACAAATGTTGATCAAGTAAAAAAAAACAACATGTATAATTGCAGTAAAAACTCACAGCTCTCATTATACTGCTTAAGTGTTTATTTAACAATAATATATTTTGTGTTTTTATTACATTAATTGTTTCAATATTTTAACATTTTTTAAACAAATTTTATATGCGAAAAAATATTTCTATGCAAATAACAAACTATACGTCTGTTAACATGCAGAATATTTTTTATAAAAATATAACTATGATAATTTTAATTTTAAAATTGTATTGTTTACATACCATTGTGAATATAATTCTATAAACAAAGTAATGTCCATAGTAGTTCCTTTGACGCCCACGATCAACCATATTAACTCGATTTTCTATGACTCTAAAAAACAAAAATAATAATATAAAGTTATACCTAATAACCTATCATAAGTTTTTTCAAAATACTTATCCAAACATTAAATGTCATGACTTAAATGCTAACTATAAATTTAACTTAAAGAATCTCCTGATAATACACTCATAATTGCAATTTATTATGCTCAATATTTTTTTAGTACCACTTATAATTTATTTTGTGCCGTAAAATTACTTTGGAAATATCAAAGCTTATCGTAGTATGATTTGTAATTAAATTAAATGTCAGAAAATATTAAAATCACATTAACAGTAGACAGTGGCTGGTTTCATTAGGAATGTAGGTACCACACCCAGGTTTCTTATCTCTGTTTCTCCTGCAGAAGCGTATTATACATACTTAGGATTCACAAAAGTCTGTTACTTATTGAAAAGTAATTTAAGAAGTTTAAGATGGTCGTTAAAAATAATATATATTGTCGTGGTCGTCTTTTAGTATTTTGTCTGTATTAAATAGGCATATACAACAGTAGAAATGAAGAATGGTATTTTGATTATTTTTTTTTTTTTTAAATACTTTTAATCGAACAATTTATAGGTAGGGACAATATTATTAATTCCTGAGCAAAGTGAAGAACGATAATGTAATTTCTACAGTTGATACTTAAGATTTATAATTTATTAGCTTATACATCAATTTACCTTGGCACAAGGAAAATCCTCTGAAAGTTAAGAAAATGTTCTGAAATATCATTAATACATAGGTATAAATTATACTTGATGAGATTCACGTAATTCGGTTAATTAGTCTTGAATTGTAATGCAAAATAATTATAATCATATAGTCTTGGAATATTTAGAAACTACATATTTATTTAAATATCACATTATAAATATATTACATGGAATACGTTTTAATAAAGTTTACCATTATTATATTATTAAGTATTGACTTTTGGAAATATTTCTCTACTTGGTTAATCGTAATAATATTTGAAATGTTGATTGTTTATTTTAAATTATAATAACCATTACCATTAACCATACACTTTTATTTTAATATTTAAAAAATCTTCAAAAGTTAAAATCATTATTACCGATTATTAAATCAATATTTTTTATTTACCATGATTTTATACTTCTTCCAAATAAACATATTTTTATAAACAAAATTTATTTTTAATGAATTACTATACAACTATAAATATTTTACTCCGGTGCAATAGATATCTACTAATTATAGTAATTTTTTAAGTAACAGAAGGCAGTAATTTATTAATTATTATAAATGATATAATACAAAAAGTATAATAGTTTACTGAATTTTATATTCTGAATATTGGTTTTTGTTTTACTATTTAGTCAACGTTTTAACTTGTAATTTATTATATAAATAATTGATTTACCTTGTATATGAAAATATATTGTTCTGTTCAGTTATTCAGGTTTCATCGAAATTATAAACTCAAAAACACATTACACTAAAATAATATTTTATTTTAAGTTATTATAGACGTAATATTAAATTAAAGAAATATAAGAACACGACATTTTTTAATACATATATTAATCATATATAAAGAACTCAAGAGCAAAATGTAACTATGTTATGCTGATCATAAACCAAATACAACTGTTTCACAAACAAGCTATAGATAATTCTATTATGTTATAAAATGTAATTATTTGGTCAATATTTTATTTTTTATGTCATTGTTGATTTACTTATTTATCATCCAATTATTATAATTACGAAAATTATAATTAAAAAAATTATCAAATTATATTGCCGTGATTGAAAAAGAAATATTATATAATTATAAATACTATAATTTTTATATGATAACTGATAACTGGGATATTAGTGGTGGCTTGTAAATAGTTGTTTTATATTGAATAGTAATATATTCCAAGAGTGGGTGTGCAAGAGTGTGTGTATATTAAACGATCATTATAGTGATAGTGTAAGATTAGTGAACTGGGATTCATGGACGTTTTGTAAATTGGAGGATTTGAATAGCAATAACATTTTTTAACATGTTATCTCAAAGTAGGCTTCGGCTTATTGCTATTAAGATGACGTGAAACCCGCATATTGTATTGTATCCGTCTTACACACGTATACTACATAGTAAATTTTAATATTTTACATACTCATAACTCACTTAAAAATTTTAAACATAGAAAAAAAACCAAAGAAAGAACACAGATAATGTTCTTACTTAAAAGTTTGATAATTCACTCTAGTATCAAAACTGACAGCAAGCTATTGAGACTGGCGAACGAAAATTGGCTATGCCGCACGTCCTCATAAAAATTAAGAATTTGAACGTTTATGGCTAATCATTTGGTTATTTTTTAAATCTAAATAGATAGGTTTTCAAATTTTCAGGAATTAACATAAAACATTAAAATGGTTTCAATTGAAAAGTTAAGACATTTGCACATAATATGACGACTCATTATAATTTTTTGTAATTTCGTGACATTTTCAAAACAGTTAAAATTCAACTATAGTATCATTCAAAGTAGGAAATTGAAATTCGTAACTTTGCCAATGGATCAAGATTAAGTGTAACATTATTCGAACTTGGGTAAACACAGTTCATGTAAAAAACCAGTAACCGCATATTTTGGTTTTAAGGTGGGTTTCCGCCATACACGTTTGCCGTGTACACGAAAAATGTTCAGCTATGTCCAACAACACGGTATAGTGGTTAATCGTGTGGTAACTTAACCTAACTAACCAATCACAGCAAAGGATTTGTATACACTTACAGTATAGTGACAACCCGCCTTTAGGGTTTACAACATACAAGACAAACATTGTCATCGAACTTACAGATTATTGTTTCCAATAGTTGCATAGTCATTAGTCTGTGATTGCGTGTAACATTTAAATGTTCTCTCAAAAGTCAATATTTGAACAAATATAATAGAAAATATGGTGCAACACCGTATTCAGTGTATAATTCACTTATAATTCGTAGCAAATTAATTATAATTATTACATAAAACGCATTTATCAACAAATTGATAACAACTCTGAATTACCATTTAAAAAATAATTAGTTATTTAATGAACGAATACAGAAAATACACCTACTATACACTATTATTGTTTTACTTAAAGTTAAATTTTTAATATTAAATAAAGAATTAAGACTTAAAATCATATTTTTTAAAAAAAAAATTTACCAAAATAAATTATGATCAATCAGTGTGGATTATTTTTTTTTAAATATTATTAATGAATAATAATACAAATTGACTAAACTTGTATTATTTATTAGACTTTAATACACAATATGAAACAATTAATTTTAATAAATATAATGTATAAACTCCTATCTCCTAAATAATAAATTTAAAGATTTTAATTTTTTTTAACGATATTTGTATTATAAGATAATTAAAATTCATATTATTTGTTTTATTATGATATGCTTATTAGTTGTAACCTAACTATTTAATAAACTATGAAAAACAATCAGTGCTTAACATTTTTCTTGAACATTGTTGTTCAGATTTTTTAAAACAAGTTTATGCATAGCTGGTAAGACATTTAATAGGTACCATAAAACATATTACAACTGATTTTAATGCACACCCATATTACCTAATATTTTTAAAACTTAACTTTTAATAACTGAGTTTTTGTTGTTGTAATTTATATTTTAATATGATTTAAAATCTACAGATGAAATTAAACACTAACATATTTTTACTTATTATATTAGGTTCATGTATAACTTCGTATAATGTAATTAGGTAATTAATACATTTTAAAGATTGTTTTTATATAATTGTTTAAGAATAAATCAATTATGGATATAAATCAGAAGACGACTTAAATTTAATAGACAGTATGCTGATGGTGATAGTGATCAAAAAATAAAGAAATTGAGATTTTAACTGCTAAAAAAACATAAATTTAGTTTATTTATTGATTTAAATAAATCATTTTCATTTTCCATTATACAGTGACACATTTTAGTATTAATATTAAACATTTATCTTTGCCATCAACGATGGTTTGCACTTTTACATTTTTTTTTTTTTGCTCGAGTAACTAACGTTGTGAAATTAAAAGCTACACTTGTAATTAATCTCTTCATCACTCGATCATATTGAAAAATAAAATAAAAATACCAAACAGAAAACATTTTTAAAAACAATGTTTATACTAGTGTGGACCCGTCAATGCCAAATTGTCAACTTCAATTCGTGCGTACTAGTCCTCAAAACAATGTCTGCAGTGTGTGCTTTCACTTCCAGCTGAGCTTTCACTTTCACCAGTCGGTTGCTAAGTTTCTGAAAAGGGTATCAGGGTCGTATTCGTTTTACGTAAAAACTTTTACCGAAAGCTCAGGTTTTACGACACAGCGCCCGACTGCAAATTCGTTCTGAAATAACAAAACTAAGTTTAATCGAAATTCGAAGAATAATTTATAAACATCTTTGACCTAAATTCTTTTATTTTATGAAAAACGTTAGTCATAAAGACAAGAACTATTTAATAGTTACAGTGATACTTGATCATCGATTCAACCAATACAGCATCGATTTTACCAGAGGTTATTTTAAAACCACCTATCGATCGATTCCTACATCGATTCCTATAAGTATCTAGGTATAGGTACCAATTTTGACTTGCCATCGACCCAAGTTTATTAATTGATATTTGACATAGTTTTTAATACAAAATATTTTTTTATTTCCCGGCTAATATAATTATTAATGTATATAACGTTTTTTTAAATAATTGCTAACTATGCAGGAACATAGATAATTTACTGATTATAGCAAATTTAATAATATTATAGATATAATAGAAAATGGATTACAAAATTGTATACTAATTTACTACAAAATAATAAGTCCGGTACCGATCATCCAAAATCTAAATATTAAAATCCAAAAACCTATATAATATTATAAAAATATAAAATACATTATATTATACAGTAGTCGGTAAAAATGAACATGAAAAAAATGTCAAA